GGGAGGAGGGGAGCCGGGCAACGGTGGCACACGCCTTTAATCCCAGCACTTGGGAGGCAGAGTCAGGCGGATCTCTGTGAGTTCGAGGCCAGCCTGGGCTATATAACGGGCTTTTCCCCCTTTTTCTTTAAAAGTGGGGGAGGGGTTGGAGAGACGGCTCAGCTGGTAAGAGCAGTGGCTGCTCTTCCAGAGGACCTGGGTTCGATTCCCAGAACTCACATGGCAACTCAAGACTGTAACTCCAGTTCCAGGGGTTTCAACACCCTCATACAGACATACACACGGGCAAAACATCAATGCACATTAAATAATAAAATAAAATAAAAAGATGACCACCAAATGCAGTGTACGGCACAATGGCAGACAGACAGGGTTAGACTCCAAGAAAGACAAGAAATGAAAGTGTCCACAAGTACAGCTTGCAGATAGAACAAACAATACTGCCACATAAAAGTTAACATTTTTGACTTTAGTAACTGGTCTATGACTATATAAGACCTTGCCCTCAGAAAGTAGACATTAAAACGTGTTAAGAGGATGGTGCCTGCAACCTTCTTCTAAACAGCTCAGAAAAGTAACAATACATCAGGAATAAAGAATGATACAACAAATGTTAAAAATAACAATACAGCCAGATGTCAGTGGCCCACGCCTTTAATCCCAGCACTGGGGAGACAGAGCCAGGCCGATCTCCGTGAGTTCGAGGCCAGCCTGGTCTACAGAGCAAGATCCAGGACAGGGAACAAAACTACACAGAGAAACCCTGTCTTTAAAAAAAAAAAAAAAATCGAAACTAGAAGAGTGCATACTGGATTTTGTTCTCTCCCAGTTTTCAGTAGACTTGGAATTATTTCAAAATCGGTTTAACTATGGAAAACTACTTTAAGCATTTGGTTGAGATACGAGACTGGACTTATGGAGTTTTCTCTGAGAGCTCAGCAACCTAGTCATCCCTTAAATAGCTGAAACTTGATTTTTGGATCTCATAGATCCCTTTGTCTGTTACTGTCTTGGCCCCAGCGTCCTTGTGTACACTCAGCTGGTCTGAGGGTTCATCAGATTTGAAGTCACCAGAAGCCAGACGAGCACAGTGCCTCACACTTGTAATCCTAACACTTAGGAGGCTGAGGCAGGAGAATTTCTCCAAGTCCAGTATAGTCTAGGGAGTCCCAGGCAAGCCTAGGTTGTACAGTGAGAAGACTGGGGGGTGGGGGCAGGGAGGCAGAGAGAGAAAAACAGAAACAGAGAGACCGAGAGAAAGACAGAGAGGGAACACACAGACAGACAAGACCCGGACCTAGGGTGCAATTACTGGTAGAGGCATCACTTACCAAAGTCTCTGGGTTCAAATTCCACCACTACACACACACACACACACACACACTGTTCATTTCATCCGCAGCACCCACCGTGATCTCTCAAGTCTGCTCTATCCCTCAATCCCTGCCATCTTTAGCTGCATTTTATATCTTGTTCTATTCTGAGGCAAAACTCAGTCCAAAATGATTGAGCTCTCTAAGAAATACAAGCACCGCTAATACGCGAAGCTGGTAAATTCAGGCTATGCAGCCTTCCTCCTGCTCACACACTGGGCACTAGGGACTCACAATAACCACAGGGGCTTCGACAGCAGAAAACACCCGTGGGAAACCCGCAGGTTTCCCCGTCACTGTGTCCAAAGCCCGTGACAGCCTGCAGCACAGCCTTGGGCCACGATGGTCTACTGAAGGTGAGAGAAACATCCATCACTCACTTCCAAAGGTCAAAACTGAGCACATTTTAGATATTTATAGCAAGAACAATGAATAAGATCTCAGCTTACTAATATAAAATAAAGCCCTGATTAACTCAGGGAGCATTGTTTTGCTGCTACCACTATGCAGTGCTTTATATTTCAGCCGTTTGGGCAGCACAAAAACAAAAATCCCACATGCAGACATTAAAACGAGGGCCTTTTACACATCGCCTTCCTTCCTGACACTACCAGGCTGAAGGGAGTGTCAGAGGCAGGGTGAGACTGTGCCCAGGGGAGCCAGCGAATGGGGAGCGGGGCTGTAATAGCAATACTGATTTGAGCTTGTATTTGGGGAAGCAAGCAACTTCTCAAATACACAGCCACAAAACTTCTCCATAAGATGTCTTTCCAAAAGAAGAATGAGCACAAATAAAAAGTGTTTTCCAGCTTGTAATCACTGCTGGTTTCTGAGCAACAAAAGGAAAGACTATCAGTAGGAGATGGACTGTAGCAAATTAGAAGACACCCCCACAAGGTTGTCAAGGAAACCAAACCACGTATATTTTTCTACAAAAAAAAAAAAGAAAGAAAAAAAGAAAGAAAGAAAAGAAAAGAATCGCAGGTAAGGTGAACATGCCACAGCATATTTGATGACAAAGGACTACCATCCCTTGGAAAACGTTTTAAGACGCTAAATCGATTTGCAAGCTATTTATGAAGTACTTTGTCGGTAAAGCTTGCAGGTATTCCCAAACTCCCAGGTTGGAGGATCTGCTGCTGCCGCCTTCCTAAAAGCAGCTAAGCCTGGGCCACTGACAGGGCAAAACATTTCCTAAGGTCTTTTCCGAAAAATTAACATCATCAAAAAAAAGAAAGGAACTATCCCCGCCCCTCCCCCCCCCCAAAAAAAGGAGAGGAGAATTCCTAATTTTAGACTTTTTTTTTTTTCAAAATGGAAGTCTTTTTTAATGCATTGGTGTGCGTGTGCGGGTGTGTGTATGTGTGCTTTAAGAGCAAAGACTGAGTGTATGCAAACCAAAGCAGTAGCTGCGCTTGGCTGTGCCATTTCAGAGTGAAAAGAGACCAAAGTGGCAAGGGGGACAGGGTGTCAAGTTGGCAGGGCACGTGTAAACATCTCCACGAGTAGGTGGTTGGTACATCAGCAGGGCAAGGTGACACGCTGGTGAGAGCACTGGATGAGGACCGCTGACAAGCACCAAGGGAGGGGAGGGGACGACACGGACACACCGTGAGCTCTCAGGTGTAAGGCCTGCAGCGAAAGCATCTGCAGCAGCATCCCTGTGAGGTGCAGCCCGCCCAGGAACCCCGCCGTCCCATCCCCTCAGCACCCCATCATCTCAGAGCCCCATCCCTCAGCTCCCTATGCCCTCGGATGGAGCCCCGACCTCTCAGCTCCCCATCCCCCAGGTGGAGCCCTATCCTTCCAACTCCCCATCCCCTCAGACTGAGGTCCATCCCTCAGCGCACCACCCCTCCGCGCTCCTCCCGCCGTCTGACCCCGCGGGGGAAATAAATGGCTTCGGGACGCCCAGCGAAGCGTGAGTGGGCGAGATGGGGCGCGGCTCTTACCCGGTGCCGCAGTCAACCACGCAGGGAGGCAGCGAGCCCGCCATGCTCGGCCGCGAGGCGCTCGGTCCCCGCCTGCGCCCCAGTCTGCGCCCCGGAGCCCAGTGCCCCGAAGCCGGTTCGCCGCCGGCACCGCTCCTCCCTAGGATCCGCCGGGAGCCCAGAGGCGCCGCCGTCGCATGACGTCACTCTATAGTTAGCCAATCGGGAACGCTCACGCTCCTCCCTCTTGTCAGCCATCCGTAGTGCTGGCAGCGAGGCGTTTTAGCCCACGCACCCATCCATTTGAAGCGATTGGAGTTTATTTTTAACTGGCATAAGGTGAATATGACCCTATTTACGAGGCCTGAATTCTTTCTCTTCTCTCTTTTTTTAATTGTTTTAAAGATTGATTGTGTGCATGTCTGTCTGTCTGTATGTATGTATGTGTACGTTGGTATGTGTATGTGAGTACAGGTACTCTTGGAGGCCAGAGACATAGGCTTGCCTGGAGCTAGAATTAGAGACAGCTGTGAGCTTCTTGATGTGGGTACTGGGAACCGGACTTGGTTCCCCTGGAAAAGCCGCAAATGCTCTTAATGGCTGAGCCATCTCTCCAGCCCCTCTCTCATCTCTGAATTCTCACTTCAGACGTTCACTTCATTTTCTACCCCAACAATCCCTTGATTTTATTCCTAACACTTCAAGCTGGTTTGGGTACTAATTTATTTGTAGTTGTTCACCTCTACTGGACTGTAGGTTCTCCTGGGACGGGGGCTCATGCTTCACACGTTTGGTGCTCAGCTAGAAGTCCCCTGAATGTTGAATGAATAACCTCCACTATAGGAAAAAACACTTTCAACTGTCTACCTGATAGAGCATTGCCCAGTTTATCCTGGGAGAAAATCAACAGATACATAGCTAGACTTAAGGAATAAATGGCCTTAGTCAACACCATACCAACATGATTATTAGGAAATACTTTCCTAATAATCAATCAAATATCAAAGATAGGATGGTTATCCAGCATCACTATGGAAACCAGAGACTAAAGAAGAAAAACACCTACCGACTGCTGGTTCTAAAGGTACCAGCAGTCCCATTTGTACCCAACTCCTTACCCTCTAAAGTTCTGGACTGTGATGCCCGAGGAACTCAATTCTCTTGGTCTTCATTGGGACTTAAAGCGTTGTGTTTTTTCCACAGGAGAAGAATTAGATTAGGTAACTCATTATCTTTTTTTTTTCTTTTCTGCATTCAAGGGAACAAATAATAAACAAATAGTCCTAGACCTAGAAAATATTCAGGGGAACTAGAGAGAGAAGTAGAAGAAGAGTATGGAACACCCCAAATGGGACCCAGAACCAGAGACAAGACTGTCTCCTTCTGTGCATGTTACCAATGCCCTGCCCAACTCTGTTTGTTTGTTTGTTTGTTTGTTTGTTTGTTTTTGAAACCTGGGCCAGAGCAGCAAAATCCTACTACAGGTTGTTGCACTGGCATGTATTTTAGTGTCATTTACTTGATGTAAATTTGTTATATTGGTCAACTTGACAAATATAACAAAAACGTTGACACCAAACGTGTGATTGACAACTTGACAGGACCTAGAACACCTAGGAACAACCCCGCCGCCACCACCACCCCCACCACCACCCCCCGGCATGCCTGTGAGGAAGATTTTATACTGTGTTGATTGAGGTGGGAAGACCCATCCTGAATGTGGTTGGGATCCCAGGATGAGGGAAAAGGAGAAGGCCAGCCGAGCACTAGCATTCATCTCTCTTTGCTTCCCGGCTGCAGACACGGTATGACCAGATGCCTCACACTTCTGTAGCCATGGCAAGGATTTCATGCTCAAACTGTGAGATAATAAAATGTCCTTAATACTGCCTTTGTCGGGCATTCTGTCACAGCAAGAGAAAGTAACTAATACAAACAGTAAACAAGACGCTTACGGTATCTGGCTCCAGAGTCTGGTGAGAGATAGCACCCGTGATCAAAAGATTATAATATAAATGCTAGATACAGGAAGTACGAGGTTCCCAGAAAGCCATTAGCCCCCCACACACACACCCTGACTTTTGGACCAAGTAGGCTTCTCCCGAAGCTGTGGAGTATAGGTAGAGAGAGCAGCTAGGTAGAGGGGATACGGAATGTGTGTGTACTTCTGGGAGAGGAAGCTTATCAAAGCCAGGACAGCCCCAGAGCCCAGCTGTTGCCCTGTCTACTTCACCAGGAAGAAACTGTTACAGAAACTTGACCTGGCCAGCAGCAAAGAGTGTGCCTTTCCTGGAATCGTCCCCACTGCATAGGACTTACTGGGAAGGACGGCCACTAGGTCGTCCACTCAGTCACTGGGAGGAGAAAGCTATTTCTGACTTCAGCAATTTCCTCTAGACACCACTAGCCCTAAAGATTATCAAAGATGTTTTTGTGCCAGGGTTATGCCTGTTTTTCCCTCACTTGGGAGGCTAAAGAGAGAGGGTGGGACATTCAAGGCCATCCTAGGATACAGCGTTAGGCCATGTCCCAAACAAATTAAAAAAAAAAAAAAAGATATTGTTGTGGGCAGCCAGTAGAACACAAACGTAACTAGATTCCCTAGAATGAGCAAATTGTGCTATCTCGTTTTGTAACTCAGACAGCTCAGTGGTTCAATTCAATGGTGTCATCAGGAGTCTCTACATCCTGTCCCAGCAGGCCCTGCACACTGGCCTGTGTGTGCTCATCCTCTTCGCTTTCAACATGGCTACAGCAGTTCCATGTGCAGAACCACAATGATAAACTCCCTCTGAGAGAGAGAGGAGGAAGCTGAAGAGGCACTGTCCCCTCTGCCTCCCCGTTTGTTCCCCTAACCAATGCCTCTTTCCTGGTGGAAATCTAGGATTCTAGTGGGTCACGAGAAATCACCACAAATGGAGTGGCCTGATATGTATGCTTTCACCATTCAAGAGGCCTACAGGCCAATATCAAGATGTAGATGGGGCTACATTCTCTAAAGGCTGTAGGGAGCTTCTCTTCTGTGCCTTTTACCCACTTCCAGGAGCTGCTGGCAACTCGTGGGTTCCTTGGCTTGTGCATGTATCACTCATCTCTGCCTGCATCATGTGTGTTTATGTTTTCTGTGTTTCTGTGGGATTCTTCTCTCTCTCTCTCTCTCTCTCTCTCTCTCTCTCTCTCTCTCTCTCTCTCTCTCTCTGCATATGTGTGTGTAGATGTTCATGCACATGTGTGTGCATGCATGTAGAGGCCAGATCTGGATCAACCTTAGGTATCATTTCTAAGGCACTATCCATCTTTTGTTGTTGTTGTTGTTGTTGTTGTTGTTGTTGTTGTTGTTGAGGCAGGGTCTCTCACTGGCCTGGAATTCCTCAAGTAGGCTAGGCTGACTGGCCAGTGAACCCGAAGAATCTACCTATCATCACCTCCCAGCACTGATATTATGAGTGCACACCATCCTTGAATCTTCCTCATGGGTTCTCAGAATCAAACTCAAGTCCTTGGGCTTCCACAGCAAGTGCTTTCCCCTCTTAGCCATCTCCCCAGCCCCAATGGTCCCCCCCCAGCCCCTAATGGTCCCTCCTTCTAAGGAAGCCAGTTGTGTTGAATTAATTTACTCACCTATGCAAATACATTCCGAAAAAGATCACATTTACAGATATGCAAGGTTAAGATTTCAACATGTCCTTTTAGGAGATGCTGATCAACCCATAACCCCCGCTATGCCAGAAGTAGTCATCAATGCTGTGTTGACTGTTACAGATAACCCCTCTGTCTGGAGATCAGCCTCATGACCTTTGAAGCCTTTGGTGTCCAACACCTGCCTTGCATGTGCATTGATTTACAAGAAGGGGGGATTGCTATTTCATAAAACACACTCTGTCAGGGTGCAAAGGAAGCTGCCTGCAAGTGAAGAAGAGGCCCCATCAGGACCCAACCACACTAGCATCACAATCTCAGAGTTCCACCCTTTAGCACTGTAAAAGAAAGTTCTGGTGCTCAACGGGAAAGCCAGTGTGTCATGGCAGTCTGAGCAAACTAAAATGGTGTTCAGAGCACTTTCTGTCTTCCTTAGATTGGAAGCTCATATGAATCAGGTACCAATTGCCTCTGCTTTGACCATGCCTAGGGCAAAACACTCACAGAAGTACAAATCTCACATTCTGTAAAAAGTAAAACACAATTTTTGATCATTGTATTAACAACGAAGTATGTGCTCTCCAATACCGGCAAAACTGGCTACTGAGTGCATATTAACCCAGGGTGTATTTCCCTGTGAGTGCCTGGCCTGCCTCTCTCATTTGTAGCCTGAATTCAACTGGTAATGAGAGCAATGTTTGAAGGAGCTTTCATTTGCAGGGAAGGCATCTCTATTTTCGCTTCTCCCTGGCAATGGCTTCGCACTGAAAGGAGAGCTCCTATATAGAACGATGCATGGCCTTGTGGTAGATGTCATAGCTACCGTCCTGACCTCTGAAGCAGCCCAGCACTAGTCTCTCAAATGAACTGTTATAAACATCTTCCAATGATGCATATTTATATGCATATGAAGATGGCCAGAATAAAATAATCGGGTCTTAGAGATTGTCTAATTCATGGAACTTAGCCCATGAGTAACTGAGGAACGCAATCTTACTTCCTGTATTTAACTAGTAGTACAGGGCCAAGAAAGAAAAAGAACACAAAAACTAAAGGCTCTCTTCAAAAACTGCCCACCCAGCAGCTCTATAAACCTTAAATCTCGGAGCTGTAGGCAGGGTCGAGCTGGGTGTTCTCTGTTGCCATGAGGATTCAAACAGAGAAAAGAGAACCAAAAAATTAGAACTCAGTTCCTTTCAAAGTATCTGGCATTCTCCTTTAAGAGGAAGGGCCTGTCACTGCTCTCAATGGACCTCCGTGGTGTCCTGGCAACAGCCGGAGAAAAGGATCCAAGCAGGAATCGATTGGCTAAGTGTTCAGAGTGTGTTAGAAAGTTGATAACAGAGCAAAGCCGCAAGACTTCAGGAAATAATCTAGAGATCTGAGCATGTTCACAGCTCTGCTTTGTTTCTGTCTCCATTCTGGGCAATTACTCAGGCTGAAGCCTGGTCCCCTATATCCCCTCTGACCCTCTCTTCCTAAGCTACCCAGCTGCAAAGTCTGGCTTATCCAGGCCCCCCACCACTTCCTTTTCATCTGCCTCTGTTGTTTCCTTCTCCTCTTCCTCCTTTTCTTTCAATGAAGAAGGGTCTCGTGTAACCCAGGCTAGCTAGCATTGAGCCCAGTATGTGTCAAAAGATGACCTTGGGCTCCTTATCCTCCTGCCTCCACATCCCAAGTGCTGGGGTTTACGCAGCACC